TCCATTTTAATGTTTTTTACATCCATTGAGGCAGGATATCAGTAATTCATAAATTAAATACGATGAAAAATAAAATTATAAAAAAAAAAAACAAACTAGTATGTCAACTGAAACGATTTTCCTACCTATTTCCGACAGATTTTAATCAATTCGTAATACTGCGTAACTTACAAATTCAATAGTCTGTAACTTAGCAAATATTGATCCGATTTGGGCGATTTTTTTTTTTTTTTTTTTTGGGCGAAGGGAAAGACATGATATTAAATAACATTTAATTTTAGACCGGGCCTAGCACCATTTTAATGGGGACGATATAGCAGAGTGGGAGAAACTGCACATCGAAAATTTGACTAGATTATAATATTTATCGAGCGGTAGGAAAAATAAAAAGTAAGCAACAGAATATTTTTTTCTTCTGGACCCAGTCATGCTATTCTAAGAATTGGGTATATCTGGGCACAATTACGTCTAATGTGGTGTAAAATTTCATTCATCCAATAAGTAATGTTGGTATTTAATTTAATTTTTATTTATTATATACTGTCCAAGTGACAGATTGTTGTAATACTCAATAAATAAATAAAAAAATATTATATATACTTTTTGAATATTATTTAGTTGTTATTTTAATTTTGTTTATTTTCTGTACATATAGTGTGAATGTAGTTTTACCTCACTGTAATTAATGCCTATCTGACAGAATATTATATTACTCGTTCAATAAATAAAAATATAGATAGCGGCGATCCTCATCGCCTTAAGAACATTATGTAGAAGGCGAGATCAGAGCGCTGTTCTCTTCATCCACACTCAAGCAGCCATCCTCGCTATTACAAACACGAATGAATGTTTATCGAGTGCTATATTGGAATGTAAATCCCTCCTCTCTGACCTGACACACCGAGGCACCAATGTGGTCCTACAGTGGATCCCCAGCCATTGTGGGATTCCGGGTAACGTTGAGGCAGATATTCTAGCCAAGCGAGGAACAGATTTGACTTAGCCGATACATCCAAAACCTTACGACTCAATACGGCGAATGGTGAAGATGGCAATGAAGGAAGAAATAAGAAAAGCACATTTCGGCAAAGTGGAAGGGAAACGTTACGAGTGTTTGATAGATAATCTGATTTCAGCTGAGCTGCCGACAAGAGATGCAGTTGCCTGCTTCCGCCTGGCCAATGGCCACGACTATCTGCAGTCATCTCCACAAGATAGGTTGAGGATCCTACCTGTAAATTGTGTCATCGAGGAACAATGGATGCAGACCATCTAGACGCATGTCCTGCCTTGACGGACATAAGAGAAAAACATTTTTAAATATATATATTAAAAAATCTAAATTATACTGGGCAGCGAGATATCGGATGGCCGAATCACCAACGACTGGAATAAGAGAAAAAAAAATCTTTTAGTCCAAATGAATGATGATTTACACATTCTTAGGGTCGAAACGTCGGCATGTATAGTAAACCATATAAAGACTGAAAATCCTGATTATTTGTCATATTCATAAAGTATTATATAATTATTGTAAAAATATTATATATGTGTGTAAAATTGAATACAAATAAATGTTAAACTCTTTAAACATTTAAAAATATTTTTTCTCGACTACAAAAACAAAAATAACATTAAGCAGAATTAAAATTAATTTCGTAGTTTCTTGCTTCCAAACACATGAAGGAAAACTATTTCCTCAGAGGAAAGATAAGCTCTGTCATGGCCGCCATTGGTGCTAATTGGCAAAAAGCCTCCTGCCGTTCCATAGAGCTTCTCGGGAAGGGAAAAGGAGAAGGACACTGCCAGGCCCGAGCCTATTTATCAACACTAATAATACGCCGGGCTCTGATTATATCCTTCTGCAAAAGGAGTTCTGTTTTTGGAAGATAAGGAAGTCTCGCTAAGGAGAAAAATATATTAAGAAATGAAATATGTCGGGTCATCTTCACTATCCAAACACATAATTATTCAACGACTTAAATGGTAGAAATAAATTTAATATCATGAATGAAATATCCGTATCCGTACATATATTATTACAGTAAGGCTCGAAATCGGTTTTGTACCAAACATCAGCTCCTGTCATGCTCAAATAAAATAAATGGGGTACCGTTGGATTTAGAATTTCACGGGGAGTTAGCGAATCGTATTCTACACGTTTGTTTTTCTTTCTAAAATAAATAAAGTCTATACAAACATTTTGCTAGGCTTCAATACTCGAACGGTGGTAGGTATGTAGATCGATACGGGACAAATTGGATATAGGAGATTTTGATGCGTACAGCCCCAAAACGTACTATTTTCGAGATAACGCAAGGCATAGGGTTCGAATCCACACAACCTTACATTAATTGTAGTACTGTTATTGAATACATGTCTCATTTCGTCGACTTGAGGTCTCTATGATCAAGGGAGGAGGAGTTTATATTATTTATCGATGGTGTTTTTGATCGGCAAGCCATATCATTGTCAATTTCTCACCAAATTTCGAAGGCTTCCTTCTCCTTCAGGCGGACAAAATAGTCCAATCACCCCGAAAATTCAGGCAAAAAAGTTAAAAAAGAAAACAAACTTTATTTGCGAATAACTAAAAAATTACACACTTTTCCCTTGGTTATGCACGTCATTATATAAAAGATTACTAAATTCCCTACACAATGAAAAAAAAAAAATCATCGAAATCGATTAGAAATTTTTCCAATATTTTTTTTTCATTTTACTATTTATTTTTTCTTATTTTCGATTAATATTCATTACAAAAGTTAATCACGTGATTATATAAAAGATTACTAAATTCTATACAAAAGGAAAAAAAAAATCATTGAAATCGGACAAATTTTAGCAAAGATACAGCTTACTGAAATTTGTAAACCCGTTGGTTCCAAACAAAAATGAAGATTTAAATTAATTTTTGTTTTCTTTGTCGATTATATTTATCGATAAAGTAACATTTGATTTCTTTATCTTTTGATACGTTGCATTATTTACTTTTCTCATTAATTTGGCATTTGATAACAATATGCTGTGCGAATTTTTCGCACGGGCCTACTAGTATATAATAATATGGCTCCCTAATAATATCCCCTTTCCGGTTCTCAAAGATGGATTTTGACGAATGAAGTATGAAACGAAAAAAAAAATTATTGTAAAAGAGATAAAACTTGAACCCTTACTACAATAATAAACGTCTGTGAAAAAAATGGGTGCTTTCAAAACTAACATGGTGATAATGAGACGGGACAAAAGTTGTTTTAAAGATTTAGGCGCGGACTTAACTTTTTGCTGAAACTGAACCATTTTTTAGATAAATCTTTAGTCGCGGATGCGCAACAGTATACATAAAACTTTTAAAGCATTTAAATATTTATTGTTCAATATTTATAACTTTTTATTACTATGCTTATTTAATTATGTTAATACAATGATTTTTCGTTTGAAAGTACTTTGATATTTAAATTTTGATTCATTTTAAAATACTTTGATTCATTATTCGTTACCATTATAATGTGTATATTTATATTATAACCTTATTAGACGTATATGTTTAGTTTTTTTCTTATTTTAGTTTAGATTAGAAATTATTGTAATTTTCAACCCCTCCATAATTTTTTTTTCGTTTCAAACTACTGCAGGCACGTAATTATATTTAAATACGTTATTGACTTATTAGTTATCAAGTAATTAGTAAATTTAGTGTATATAGAGACCAGTTACTGCATTTATAAGGTAAGGTTTGAAATCAATAATTAAAAAAAAATCAAAAAAGTATGCTGTGCACCTAGCAACCCGATATAATTGGGCAGCATTCTTTTATATGAAATTAAAATGTTTCTCTCTCATCTTCCCCCTCGAAAATTGAAATTTAATAGAAAAATAATGAAGAGAGGAATAGTTGGGGGTGATCAGTCAAATAAGAAGGCAAAAATAAATGATAATATATATTTTGACATTTGCCGACGTTTCGACCTGAAGTTAAGGCCATCATCAGGGCTAAGAAAAGAACCAGATAACAAGGTATGAGAAAAATGAGTAGTGTAGGTAAAAAAAAAAAAATTAAAGTAAAATTCAGTTGTTATAATAATGACAATATTATGAACTAAGAGATAAATGATAATAAGCGGAACAAAGTGTGGAATTATGAAGTAAACATAATAAAAAAAGGTGACATAAGTATCACATTTTATTCTACGATTCCCATTTTAATACTTATGTTTACTTCATCATTCCACACTTTGTACCGCTTATTATTATTTATCTCTTAGTTCTTACTATTGTCATTATTCTAAAAACTGCATTTTACTTTAATTTTTTTTTTTTTACCTACATTACTTATGGTATGTTTCTCATACCTTGTTATCTGGTTCTTTTCTTAGCCCTGATGATGACCTGAACTTCAGGTCGAAACGTCGGCAAATGTCAAAATAAATATTATCATTTATTTTTGCCTTCTTATTCGACTGATCACCCCAACTATTCTTCTCTTCATTATTCACGACAGTCAACCATTTACCAATTAATAAAAACATAGGGTATTCCTAACCTGGCTTATCGTTCATCGTCTATGAATTTAAGTTTTCGAGGAAACAGAATCGAGTTACATTGAGTTAATTATTAGGAAAACATATGGCTATTGACAGATGACTGCAAATGTGAATCTATTTCACAGAATTATATTTATAATTTTTTTCACCCTATAAAATATATAAAGGATAATTCACATTTCAAGTATTTAACAAGTACAAATGTTAAATCTTAAAGGTTTTTACTTGAATTGTAAATTGGATTATTATTAACACCATAAGAGGTTAGAATATGGTTTGATAACCTTACAGTTTTAAAATTTAGGTGAAAGGTTATGAAAAAAATTTATAAAGTTTCTTTTAAATATGTGAGAAAAAATAGTCAATGCATTATTAATATTATGAAGACATATAAAAATGAGTTGGAGACAAGTTTATTCACTATACCACAGACTGCTGACGACGTATCCTTACAAGATGCACTCGCTGCAGTCAGGAATACTCTTCGGCGCGGGAGACCTGATATCGCAGAGGATGTCCAAAGCGCCCGATGAAGATTACGATCGCTACAGAATCCTCCGGTTTACGATAATAGGCTCCATCTTGGGCCCGCTAATACACAAGTGGTACAGGGTCCTCGATAAGTTCCTCGGAAAGGATAGAGATCTGAAGACCATCGCGAAGAAGGTCATCGCAGACCAGCTGTTGATGGCGCCTTTCATCATCGGCTGGGTGATGTCCGTGGGTGCGTTGCTGGAAGGCGAAGGCCCGCAAGACATCCTGGAGACGCTGAAGAACAGGCATGGCGACCTGCTCGTGGACAGCTACAAGGTCTGGCCGTTCGTCCAGATGGTCACCTTCGTATTGCCGAGGAATGTTAGAGTGCTCTTCCAGCAAGTGATCTCTGTAGGCTGGAACACTTACGTATCTTATCGGGTAAACGAAAGGCCATCGGATGCTGAGTAATAAATGAAAAATATATATCACTTTTTTTTTCTTTTTCTGTTGATATTACAGATCGTGTAGATATTTTGCCGCCTTAACAAGCCTGCTACATCTCTGCCTGTCTTGGGATATTTCCAGTTATCTGCTCAATTGTGGTTAATTCTATCCACTAGCGGATCCAAGATTTAATTTTGGGGGGGGGGCTTTAGCCCGAAAGGTTTATTTTATTCATAAAAATAACGATAATTACTTTGGAAAAAAAAAGAAATAAACTAACTATATGAAATGGTGTTTAAGTGATTCCTACAGTCATTTTAAATGTGATTACACGAACAATAATAATTTAAGAGATATTTTTTTCTATAAAATATAGTTATATTTTACCCCATTTGGGAGGGGAGCTTCAACCCGAAAGCCCCCCTCTTTCCCGTAGATCCGTCCATGATTCTACCTATCTCTTGCCTACTAATGAGGCATTCATTGTCATTTAGAGGCTTCCAGATGGATCGCTCCGAGCTACAAGCCCCACCTATCTTAACTTCCTTGCCTTTATATAATGTAATATTGATAGACCAGTTTCTGTAAGCAGTTCTTTATTGGCCTTTCTTCTCAATCTATTAGTGCTCTGATCCCAGATCGCTCCGGTTATCGTGCAGAGGATTTTTTATCAAATCTTTCAATACTTCCTTCAAGGGTGCTAGTTAGTGCCTAGGTCTCACAGCCATATATTAGAACTGGCATTGTATCATAGCATTGTACACTCTTAATTTGAGATATTTCGGGATTTTAATACCTTTGAAAGGGAGAAGAAAGCTCTGTTTGAGCCAGTTATACGCTGGTCTATTTCTGTCCGTTGGTCATTCATTGAGTTTATTGTGGTTCTTTCATTTAAACGGCTGGAAGATTTAATTCTTTAGGTTTTTTAAAATTGAGGAAGTGGTGCCGAAGACTGGCGCATATAGATATTTTCCATTTTTCCATAAAAAAACAGGACAAGGACATTTTAAAATTCCTTGAGGGTGCCGAAAACTGGGTGTTATACTGTGTGAATAATTCGCCTAACACATTGGTATGTAAAAAAATGGCACTATACGAAATAATTTTAATTGAAAATAAATATACCACAACATGAGTATAAATTATAATTAACATAATCTTTGGTTAATATGATTTGATTTAGATGTTTTTGTTTTGATTCCGAAGCTATTTAAGTAAGCATTTAAATCATAATGTATAATGTAACCATAAATTGCACACATTTTTTTTTTTTTTTTTAAACTTAGCTTAGGCCGAAACTTTGGCACAAAGAAAATAAACAATTTTTTGTGTACTTCACTGACAACATCCAACCAACGTCTCCTACTAAAACTATCTATAGTATCACCATTGACTTATTTACTCGAGGAACCGTGTTCGAGTCCGGCTGTGGCAGGCAATCCTATAAGTTTCTATAAGCAATTCAAACCAGCGTCCATATAGTGGTTACTTTTAATGAAATAGTAAATTAAGAAGGAAAAACGGAGTGTGATCTTGGTCCGATCTCCTCCCTGAACAACCGTTGGCGTAACTGAAAGTAAAAAATGAATAAAAAAAAACCTGTACCACTTCAATCCATCGGTGTGGCAAATAGCCAGAGTTCATTGTAATAAGTACTGTTTCAAGGCCAACGGTTGTGTAGGGAGATGATTAGGAAAGGCTCACGCTCAACCCTTACATTTTCTCCTCCTTTAATTAATTACTTTACTTAAGAGTGCATACTTTAAAGAGGCTGGGTGAGCACCATGAGGGTCTCTCCCAAGGCTGATGAAAAATTACTATTAACGTTAAATTACTATTAACTCAAACCTATGAGCTTGAGTTTTGGAAGTCAGTGCTTACCCACTGAGCCACTCCGCTCTATAAAAAATTCAACTGAGCTTTAGACCACACGATATATGTGAAAACATCAACAAGGCGAGATTAACAACATAAAATTAGTGGGAGACGATAAAAGCGAAAATGAGAAAGTTAAAGTAATGATATTCGCGTGGTCTTAAAAAGTTCGTTTCGTGAAAAAAATAAAATAAAAAATATAAATAATACCTCAGTATAAAGAGGAAGAAAATTTGAAAATTTCCCTCGCTTACAGTATGCAGGTCCGATTTTTAGGTTCTGAAATATTTTAATCCATATGTTCAACTAAACTCGTTATCATTTAGTTTTCGGCTTTCTAACACAGCGTCGCGTTAAGATACCATTTTGAATAATAGCTCTTTAGAAAGAGGATGAAATGATGAATATTTCCCTCGCTAACAATATGCATAATTTTTAGTTTTTGAGATATTTTAATCCATAAAAACATTTCAATTAGTCGATTCCAGTGAACTTTACCCGAGCTTTAACACATCGGAAATCTGACGGATATATCTGATTCACTCTACACAAAAAAGTGCAAAACGCGCTTAAAAAATTTTCAAAGGAAGGAGATGGTCCGGGGTGGCGGTCATAAATAGGGTAAATAGTGGCAAAACTATTTTATTAAAAGCCCAGATATTTCCAATATAGTTCTTAACGACCTTCTAGACTCTGTTATCACTTCTTTTCATCAAGACATCATTTTCATTAAAAAATATGTCGATGAACTCCTCCTTGACCTCGAATTCTTTCCTTAGGCTTTTAATAAAATAGTTTTGCCACTATTTAGCCTATTTATGACCGTCACCCCGGACCATCTCCCTACTATTAAATATTCAAAAGAAATTTTCACTTCAAAAATTAAAAGAAAATTAATACATAAGAGAAATATAAAACCGAATGTATCTATTTAAAATTTATTCGATCCATAACTCCTGGATTTACACCGGAGTGAGTATTGCACGGGATACTATACTCCGTCAATCAGTAACGATTACGTCACTTTTCTTTTAGTCTCCTTCACTAGCCGTTTGTTCTTATAGGACGAGTACGTGAAGAGAGCTTGAAGCGTCGCCTGTTGGAAGAGCACCCTGAAGTTGATCGGCAGGACGAAGGTGACCGCCTGAACAAAAGGCCACACCTTGTACCCCTCCACGAGCCTGTCGGAGTGTTCGTGCTTGATGTCCGTCATCATTTCCCCGTCGAAGAGGTCTTCGCCCGAGAGCATGGCAGAGCCGCCTATGAACCAAGCTATGAGCAGCGGCGCCATCACCATCTGATCGGCCAACATCTTCTTCGCCACGGTCCTGAAGGTTGTCCTCCTCCCGATCAAGTCGTCAAGGAGCTTGTACCACTTGTGCGTCACCGGGCCCAAAGCGATCCCGAGTATACCGATACTCGTAGTTCTGCCGAAGTCGTAGGGTTCCTCCGGGTCTTTGGTGAGCCATTGAGTGGCCAGATTTCCAGCAGCGAAGACCATCCCGGTCTGCATGGCTTGTAACTTATAGGTATGGCTGCCCATAGCTACCTTGTACAAGCCTATGAGTAGTCTGAAACTCATCCTTTATGCCTCTTCCGGTGTCTTGATAACAAAATAGAAATTTTTCATACATTTAAGAAACCTGATCCATGTACTTGCATTATGGAATTTCGATTAGATCTTTAACATTATAAGGTTATGTAGCAACATCCTAACCTGTCAATTGCACGTAAAATAAACAAATTTTGAGTTTTAAATTTAAATAAAAACTTTCGTACTTGTTATTCTCGAAATGTAAATTATCTTCTGGTAGTACATTTTAAAATATGAGAGAATTTGTAAATATAATTTTTGAGTATACTTTCCATTCTCAACAGTCATCTGTCTTTGAAAAAAATAATAAACATCATACTTTATTCTCAGAAACATTAATTTTTAATCGATTATTGATTTATCAGACTATAGGTAGTTAACTTTTACTTAAATTTCAATAATAGGGGAGGGGGGTCTGGCGGATCCACGAGGAGTTGGGGGGAAGAGAGGACTTTAAGACAGAAGCAATGTAACCTAAATATGTAAACAATTATAATATATTTTCTTTTGAAATTACAATAAAGCATATAGAGTTACTAAATATAAGTGTCAAGAAAAAATATGATAAAATTATCTCTAAAAAAATTGTTCCTATTATTATTTTTTTTAAATTTGGTCTTTAAAAAACCTGTACCACTACCACCTATGTCTTTGGGTTCAGCACTATTTAGGGAAAGTACTGTTTCGAGGCCAACTATTGTGCAGGGATAGGATCGGACCAGGATCACGCTCAACCGCTAGGTTTCCATTCTTAATCAATTATTTAATTAAGGGTGCCCATTAGTAGAGGCTGGGTGAGCTCCCCTACCCCAGAGTCGTCCCACAGCCAGTTAAACAGAATAAATAATTTTTGTGCCATGGGCTGGGATTCGAACCTGGGGCCTTGAGCATTGGAAGCTTGTGCCCTACCATTGAGCTACCTCGCTCTTTAAATGGGTCTTTAAGGAGACTTAAACATAACTTTATATAGGTAGTTTCTTTCACATTATATAAAAAAAAATTTCCGATGGGAGGGAAGGGATTAATTAAAAAAAAAATAATTTCAAGGTATAATACAATAAATTATTATATTTTAAGAAAAGTAAGTATTTTTTAAACAGATTCCTTAACCAAATAATCAAAAACATAATCCGTTGTTAGACCTAGCTAAAATCTACTTTAATACAAATAATGTTTCGATTTATTAATATATCGATCGGTTTCGATAAATCGACTTAATATTTCAGAAAAGAGTTTAATTCTAAAAAGAGAGAAAATTCTATATAGAATATAGAATACTAATATTAATAGAGTGCCGATAGTTATCGAATTTATTTTTTAATAGCTTTAATATGGAAAATTAAATATTTGTGCATTTCTAAAAAAAAAAAAAAGAGAGTTAATTTATTAACATATGTCAATAAAGAAAACAAAAAGTTATTTCTAGGAACTAGAATAAAAAAAAAAAAACAAATTTAAAAATATTTCAATAATGATAAGACTTGACTAAAATAATTTAAAGATTACATCAGTTTTTAATCTTTGCCTCTTGTAAATATTACAATCGATAGTTTACTTATATGACAGTAATTTCAATAAAATTATTAAACAGCTGTTTTATATTGAAGTTATTAAACTATTATCTAAGTTTAGATGATACTATCAAGTGATCAGAGGACATAACTAACACGGTTCTAATTCATGTTACCAGTCAATACATTCGACCTCTATGCAATTTTAAAACGTGACTTGTGAACCAATCGATACTGCCTTCTCAGTGTAGTAAGTACAACTCGAGGTTCTTAGAGTTACAAGAAGCTAAAATAATGTATCGATACAATAACAACTAAATGAATCGATATCAAAATTAGTTTTTAATTACCACGTGTAATACTAGTTCCCCTTCGTTACTACAAGACGGCTCGCTATTTCAAGATTTCCGATGAATGCCGAAAATACCCGAGTATTGACAATCTAGTTTATATCCGAAGTTACTTGTCTATTTATTTATCTTCCTTTATGAATGAAAAGATTTGTATTTGATTAGCGTAAGCCGCACAATTTAACGATATCAATTTGTGAAGAATTTCCTTGAGAATTTATGAGGACAAAAAAAAAAAAATTAAATAAAAAGCAGATCTAAATACTCCAGATAAGCCGCGAAGTAGTGAAGAACATAAATTCCCACGGCAGTTTCCTATCCCCTTCCTTCAAAAGAGCTAACATTGCATAAATAACTTGATTTGAAACGACGAAATGGGTTTTCGAAACAAAGATGTTCCCGGCAATACAAAGAGATACATGAATATATAATCTACTCAGAGCGCACTCTGTGAATAAGTGATCGGGACAAAACATTTCTCCGACCCTTAGATGTTCTGCCCTCTGGGAGAGATTACGGAGCTCCAAACAAAGTACTATACTTTTTAAATCAGATACAAGAAAATTGTTAGTTATGACTTCATACAAGATCGACAGTAAATATAAATTATTTAGAGTGCATTAAATAAAAAAATAAAAATGTCAACATTTAAGCTTAGGCCTTGAAATTATAGTTAGTAGTTGGTTTTCAACCACCGCAGGTCACCACAGATTTTATAAACCCTTTTACACCGTTAATTTTCTCAAGCAATGTTGGGCAGGATGACCGAGCAGGTTTGCACGTGTGCAACACAGGCGTTGTCCTGCAACCTGATAAACTGAATATAACTTGATAAAATAATTACAAGTGCTGGAGGGGAGAGGAGAGGAAGAAGGGTTTTTAACTCCGGCATTAATCCACCATCCTATCCCATAGTCCGAGAAAAATAACGCATAGCCTAAAAGACAAGTAAGAGGAAGAAGAAAAAAAAATGGTTGGCCAGGAAAGTAAAAACTTACCTTGCAACAGCCTTTACTTCAAATGTATATTTTAATATGTGAAATTTCCCTTAAATAATGGGAAATATTTTAATCTCAAGAACAACTAAAAAGTTTAAATATCGTACAGTGCTGGTCTGTTTCTTATTACTTCAATTTTAAAACTTAGTCATGGGTCCATTGCGAAATTTTATTGATTTTTTCCCCACCTCTTTCTCGCCTTTTAAGCTATACGAAGGTATTCCCTGGCCAGGGGATTAATGTCACAGTTAAAAGCTCCCCTAGCACCGGGATGCAAACTCAAAATTATTTTATAGCTTGTCAACTTCGGTTTATTATGTAGTTGGGTGCCAGGTAACACGTGTTTTACACATGATTAGCACGATCGGCCACTCCATACCTCCAAAAAGCATAGGCCCATTCTGATATTTTAAATATAAAAAGTATATGAAGAAACAATAACAAAATATAAAAATGGGGCGATGCAGAGTATTTTTTGAAGAATAGTATCCTTCCTGAACACAAGATACGCTGCTACAGTTTATTCATAAATTTCCAAAATGTTTAATCAGTTAGGATCCCAGCAACCTCATGAATGCCTTTTACACAATTAAGCTTCTCGATCAAACCAAGCGAGTTTATCCAAGAAAGTTAATAAACTTAACAACCCAAATAAAATAAGATCCTTAAAAATAATAAATAATGGGCTTCAGAAATTCTTTTACAATATTAAAACTCCTATTAAGTAAAAAATTAATGAGTAATAAATATTCAGGACGCAGCCTTTTTAAAAAAAAAAAATTAATTTTTTATCTATGCCAACGTTTCGACCCAAACATGTCGGTCATCTTCAGGGCGTGGTTTGAGCAATGAGGGTGTTCAAGTACTCAACACCACTTTCCAGTACTTGAACACCCTCAGTGCTCAAACCACGCCCTGAACATGACCCACATGTTTGGTTGAAACGTTGGCATAGATAAAAAATTAATTTTTTTTTTTTTAAAAGGCTGCGTCCTGAATATTTATCACCCATGATATGTAGAACAATTGACTAATTTCTTCCAATAAAAAATTAATATTTCGAAATCACATAACCTTCCTATTCAACTAACATGGTATATTAAACATATGTTTATCGTAGAAAATAGTTTTTGTTTATTTGAAAAATCAATAAAAAGTGAACTTGTTTCTAAGGTAACCAGTTCAGCATCGATTTGTCGAATTGCTATTTTAATATATAATTTCTCGAATAATTTTTTTTTTCATCTGCACACCATATCATTGTCCTTTATTCGTAAAATTTTTTTGATGATGAGATTCCTATACAATTCCTAGCGCTTTCCGAAAACGATAGTTTTAATATTTATTTTTAAATTAAAATATTTAAACAACGAAGGGACGATATCGTTATTTCGATCGACCATCGATGGTCGCCCCTAATTGAGTGTAGTTTTAAAATTTATCCAGTTACGAAGAATAAGCACATTTCCTAGAAAATTATGGGGAAAAAGTTATGAAGAAAATGAAACTTTACTTGCCCATGAATCCAAAAGTACACAATTTTAATTTTGGTCTGTCATTTTGAATAGACAATTTATTATAATCGACAAATTAAAAAAAAAAAAATCCTTCTTCACATCTGTTTGTTTTCATATTATATCGCCATTAGTTCACTGACCAGTACACTATAGATGAATTTTTCGCATTGGCAAACAAATGTGTTATATTTGTGAGTTTTTAAAAATAATAATAAAGAAAAAAAACAGAAGAAAAAATAAATATGATAAAAATAAATGTATTCTAGTTCAATATATATAATTCTATCGAGTCAGAGAAGATAGGAAGGGACATATTAAACAGACAGGCCAGGCTTTGGCGAGAATCCAAGCCCGAAACGTCGTTATATTTGGCTGTTCCTGGATATAGCCCTGTCCTCTTCTCCAGTCTGCGTGTCCTCCATCTTTCTGTCTCCATCACTCCTCTATAATTCTTGTGGCCTTTGTCTTTTCCTCTCCTTTAGTCCTAATTTGGGAGGTGTTCGGGCCTAAGTGTCGGCGCCTGCTAGTCTGTTTCTCAGTAATTTACGATGC